ATTTTGGAAGCGTGCATATATTATCATTATAGAGGACACGCATATAATATATTACTACCTCCCTCGCGGCAAAAAGTAGCAGAGATAATTCCAAGAAGCGAGGATAATCATATATGGTTGATCTATTACCATCAATCTCCGGACATGTCGGAAATACAACGCTTTATATACTGGCTTCGAGTTAAAGCAGCTATAGAGAAAAGAAAAAAAGAAAGTAAAAAAATGTAAAATTGTTTTGATGAGATAGTACAACAATTTAAAAAAATCAAGATTTTGCAATATGGAACACCTAGAGTGAGTGGAACGCGAGCTGCTGGAGCAGTGCAGCCAAGTCGCTACCTTGGTGGAGTGTTTCGCGTGGTTGCAACGATGTGAGGAGTGCATCGAACAATTCGAGAAACTTAGCTGTGTTAAGCGTCCTCGATTCACCGTTGCAAATAGACAATCTGCGGTGGCGAGAATCGCACGACTCGCGGGTGCAAAAGTGCAACTAGAAAGACGTTTCGTGCACGTTTGATGGTGAGTACGCGAGTAGAGACACTGGATCTCTCGTTTGGTGAGAGATTGATACGGCATTTGAAAACCGTATATTGACTGGTGCGGTGATCAATGTGGACTATATCGAGCCGCGACAATTTTTAGAAGACGCTGGCGGTGTAGTGCTCGAGCGAGTGCGAGATATTCTACAAAGACACGATAGTGTGAAAGTGAACACTGCATTTAACGGCGAGTTTGTGACGGGCGATAAACGCGCGAACAAAAGTATAAACACTAAAAATAGTGAACTCTTTCGAGTGTCAAATTTGGACGAGTGGTACGAGCAGTACGTTATCGAACCCACGTTGGCGTCGCTCGAAGAATTCCAAGAACGCGACAGTGGATGGGCGTTGTCGCGAATTCTAAATTTGACTGTAAACGTGAATAAATATAATCCAATGCACGCGGGATGTTACATCGAACCGCGGGAAATTATGTTAAAGCGAGCGGTGATCAATGTACAATCCAAGGACAATGCGTGTTTCGCGTGGTCGGTGATCGCGGCTCTGCATTCGGCTGAAAGGAATACAAATCGGGAATTGTCGTACCCGCATTATACGACAGTGTTAAATTTGCAGGACATTACGTTTCCGATGACGTTGAACCAAATTAAGAAGTTCGAACATCTCAACGACATCTCAATCAACGTCTACGGTATCAAGGAAAAGGAGCTTCTCCCGATATGGCTGACATCAAGGAAGATGGAGAAGCACGCAAATCTATTGTACGTGCAGGATCCGCGCGAC